ACCTACACAATATTTTTAATGAAATGGTATTAGCCTTTCAATGCATTATGTTCTCCACACTTCTACTTAAAAGCAGTTACTAAAGGAGCTTATAAAATTTGAAGACTCAGGGCAGGGAAAAGCAATGAGGCCACGTGGAGAACCGGAAGCCTAGAGGTTAACCAACTTCAAATCATCTGTGAATGATGATTTTCAGAAATACTATACCAAACCCCTCAATGCACACAGAGCCAAACCACGGTCAGTAAAAAGCAACACACAGCTGTCTGCAGTTAGTTGCACCTATAATTAACTAACACACTGTCATTTTATGATTGCTAAAGGTATACACAGTACATCATCAATCAACAAAATTGAGAGGAAATCCAATTTTATTACAAAATCCTCTTTTTCTGATTATTTAGAAAAGCATTTCTCATTCATTAAAAAAGTAAAATTGAAACCCACTATTTCCATCCCCCCAAAATGTATAAAAGATATTCCTTATTAAGAAATCTCACTTAGCATTTGAAGAAATTTAGCAGCAAAATTATGGGAGGATAATGTCTCTTGGTAATGTGATATACAGGAGTATGACTGATCTGAGACAAAATAAGGGCAACACTTAGCTGTGTGCTGTTAAGAACACAATTTAACTCACCCCTTCTATTAGGTTTCTCATTTGTCAAATGGAAATAATAGTAACTGTCTCACAAGATTGTTACGAAAGCTAAAAGAGACGAGGCATGTAAAAATATCTACCATAGTAGCAGGCTAGATATTTTTCAATTATTAGGAGCACATACCTTCTCCCGCCCCACCTTACCCCCCAACAAAAAAGGCACACATACATTTAAAATCAAGCTGCGTTTTTAATATAATGTTACTCATCCATCTCCCTCAGAAAATTGAAAATAAGACTGTAAATCAAGCAAATATATACTTAACAATTAAAGATTATCTTCAAAAATGAGGAAATAGAGTGACAAGTAGCCTAACATACTAGTTTTCTGTTTTTCTCTGCCCCTTGAGGCACCTTACTATGGAAAGGACAGTAAACCTTTATTGTCTAAAACCATCTTCTCCTTAATTTAACAGCTCTCTGTTCATTCATCTAATAAAATTCCCTGAGAGTCCTGCTAAGTTGTGAAAGATGCTGAATTAGCAAGGCACTAACAGGGATATACAGAAACAACTCCTGCAGCATAGAATTGATATATAAATTTAACAGATTCCCTGTGTAACCTAGTGCTAAGGTAGTCATATAATTTGGGACACTTGTGTATCACATTTAACCTGAAGGAACAACCAGCATAAAAGAGGCCTATTCTAGACAAACTTTCATGTATGATCACCCCACCCATAATATTATCTCCTATTATACTTACAGGGGGATGATCTTTTTCTAAAATTTTGTTTTATTCCAGAATGTTACAGGGATACAAACGTTTTGGTCACATGAATTGCTTTTGTACAGTTTGAGTCAAAGTTACAAGTGCGTCTATCACCCAGATAGTGTGCACTGCACCCGTTAGGTGTGAATTTACCCATCCCCTCCTCCCACCTGATTTCCACTTAATTTTACTACCATATGTGTACATGAAGGTTGATCTATTAGTTCCAATTTAGTGGTGCATACATGTGGCATTTGTTTTTCCATTCTTGCCATACTTCACTGAAAAGGATGGTCTCCAGTTACATCCAGGTCGTTACAAAAGGTATTAGTTCACTATTTTTTTATGGCTGAGTAGTATTCCATGGTATACATATATCCACATTTTATTAATCCGTTCATGTGTTGATGAGCACTTGGGTTATTTCCACAGCTTTGTCACTGTGAATTCTGCTTGCTATAAACATTCAAGTATAAATGTCTTTTTCATAAAATGTCTTTTTTTTCCTTTGAGTAAATACCCAGTAGTGGGATTGCTGGGTCAAATAGTAGGTCTACTTTCAGTTCTTTGAGGTATCTCCATACTACTTTCCATAGAGGAAAGGGACACAAGAGCTGACTAAAAGAACTCTCAATTTTGAGTTGGAATAATATGAGCAATAAAGTAGTTCTGGATTGTAATGAAAGTATAAAATACATATCCATGAGCCCATAACGAAATAAATAATTAAATTAGTCAAAAAATGGGGACAAAGAAACAAATCTTTTCTGTGCAGAATTCCAAAAAATGTATTAGATATTCCAACTTTAAGGAGGCAGAGAATAACTGCCCACTCCGTAAGTGTGAGCTGTGAATAGCAACTTTTTTCCAAAGAGTACAATATAGGGAGAAGTGTGGAAAAGAGTTTTGACAGGGGGAAAAAAACCAAACACTACCTCAGCCATGTGATCAAGGTGAACATCAACCGTGATAAATCATGTTAATAGTATGTACCCTTGATATAATGTGATGAAATGGCACTTTACCTTTGTGATCTTAACTCCCCAAAATACATAACCCCAGTTGAACAATGGGTAAAACATCAGACCTTCACAAAATAGCTAACCGGTACTCTTGAAAACTGACAGAGTTATCAAAAACAAGAAAAGTCCGAGAAACCCTCACAGTCAAGAGGAGCCTAAGGCAACATTACGTTAAATGTAATATGGTATCTTGGGTGGGATCCTGGAACAAAAAGGACACTAGGTAAAAACTAAGGCTATCTGAATAAAGTATGGGCTTTAGTTAATAATAATGTATCAATATTGATTCATTACATGAAACAAATGTATCACACAAATGTAAGATGTTAATAGCAGGAGAAACTAGATGTGAAGGATATGATAAACCTGTACTATCTTTGTAATTCTGTAAATCTAAAACTGTTCTAAAATAAAAAGTTCATCTCATAAAATTCTTTTAAATTATAATATTTTATATACAGAATAACATTATGGCCCTCAGTTTGTCCAAATGCAAGCCACTCACTCATTATTTATGGTATTTATGGTGTCCTGAGGAAATAAAGGGGTTTTATATGCAGGGAGGTTGACAGTGGAGAGGCCACCTTTACCTATCCAATTTCAGCATCCTGCAATGTATTACAGTTCACATGTATGTCTAGTTAAGTAATTTAACTAAATCCTCACAAGAATACACAAATGGTTTAAAACATCCCAGACAAGAAACAACAGGTAGAAAATAACATTAATAAAGCATGTATAGGCAAGTAGCAAAAGTGACATTTCTTCATTCCTAGTATGAGTTCTTTATCAGTCACAGTATGTGGCTAGAAACAACAACATTTTTAACTAATAAGATCTAACCAGAAGTAGTCCAAAACATTTCAAAATTATCAAGAAGTCTATAGGCCCTTAGTGGATTTTTATTAATGTAATGAATAAGCAAAACTTAGATACCTATATATTTTTTAAAGAGTAACAAGTTAAGGAGAAGCAACAACAGATTTGTAACCATTATTGTTAACAATGAACCCTGCCTTAAATGGACATTATGATTCAAGATTCAAGCTGGTGATATCATGAAGACTTCATAATTAGCACAACATATATCCAGATTATAAAAGCAAGCATTTATAGTTTTTACTGATGTTTAAAATCATGTTATACCCAATCTAGTATTTTATGAAACTTCACAAAAGGTAATGTAAATATACAAAAGTCTTCACAGAGGTTTCTAACTTGTCTTCTTATATTTGTGGAATTTTATTTTGAAAATGAAATGGATGAAAAATATATATGTATTCTCAATATATGCTTAACAGCAAATGACTTCATTCATGAAAACAATGCTTTAGTTATAATTGTGTAAGTGTAACCACTAACAAAGCAGCCATTTAACAGGAAAAAAGATCTGAAGTGCTCTTTACATGTGAACATGTTACAAGGTGAAGACATACCCTCCCTCACCAGACACTAGATCTGTCAGTGCCTTGATCTTGGATTTTCCAGCTTCCAGAACTATAAGAAATAAATGTCTATTGTTTAAAAAAAAAAAAAAAGATTATGAAGTAAGGTTAAAGGGTTAGCACCACACATGAAATTCTTTTTCTCGATCATTTATAGGCAAGGGGTTGTAGAAAAGCAGATGAATCAAGAAATGTACAAAGTGCTACAAGATATCAGTGATGTGGTTAATTTCACAGAAACAAGACCCTTAATAAATGGAGGAATACTTACAAACTATAATGAGATGTGTAGGAACTGTCACACAGTGTTTAAGTGACTTAGCTCCTGAACTGGATTGCGTGGGCTGGAACACTGGCAATAGAATTTATTAGCTATGAGACCTTGGCACGTTACTTAGTCTCTATGAATTTATCATCATCTGTAGAATGGTGACAGAATTGGTAGAGTTTTACAAGAGATAATTCATGTACAGTATTCTGAACAATGCTTGGCACATAGTAAGTACTCAATAAATGTTAGCTATTATTGGCCATTATTGAAGTAACCATGAAAATATTTCATACCATAAAGAAATTTATTAATTATCTTTTGGCAAAGAACATAAGTTATCAACCATAGAGATAAATTACATATTTTTCTTTTACAAATAAGTAAGCATTCCAAATTTGCTGGCCTGATCTATTTTATTGACTGAAGTCTATGAAAACACTCTATCAATATCTGCTTAATTAAAGGTTATATCAGGCCGGGCACGGTGGCTCACGCCTGTAATCCTAGCACTCTGGGAGGCCGAGGAGGGTGGATTGCTTGAACTCAGGAGTTCGAGACCAGCCTGAGCAAGAGCGAGACCCCGTCTCTACCAAAAATAGAAAGAAATTAATTGGAAAACTAAAACTATAGAAAAAAATTAGCCGGGCATGGTGGCGCATGCCTGTAGTCCCAGCTACTCGGGAGGCTGAGGCAGGAGGATCGCTTGAGCCCAGGAGTTTGAGGTTGCTGTGAGCTAGGCTGACACCACGGCACTCTAGCCCAGGCAAAAAGAGTGAGACTCTGCCTCAAAAAAAATTAAATAAATAAATAAATAAAGGTTATATCATAGTGTTGGCCACAAATACCTAACAGAAAGTACTTCATCAAAGTTTTAAAATAATATACATACCCTCAAATCAGGAGAAAAGTTCTCTGCAGAAGTTGAAATGGAATCTGATGATACAACAGAAGCTGATTTTGTATGCACTGAATTCTCTGAATGAGAAGTGGAGGCACTACAAAATATAAAAGTACAGTATGTTTGAAAAATGAGGGCTTTAAAGACCAATTTCAGACATTTTATTTACTATAACTCCATTATTTATTAAAACTTCCATTGCCAAGTAGTGCTACCTACTTTGCCTATTTAATCTTATCTTTAAATGCTGATATTACAAATTCTCTATTCCTGCAGTGGGTGGGTCAAGTGTTCTTACCACCCATATTTCCTCTGTACAGACTTTCCCAAAACTCATGAGAACAATCCAGGCTAATTCCTTCTTTTTATCCATCCATCCATTCATTCATCCAAAAGACATTCATTGAGTGGTCCAATGTACAAAACAACTACATCAAGCACTGGGATTTGGAGATAAATATGATGTAGTCCTCATGTTCAGGAAGCTCACGAGCTTGCAGCAAAGATAGACAAGTAAATAAATGGTGCAATGTGATAGTGACTCTACACATACATTCATACACACAGACAACATGTAAACACATACAGCTGGGGGAGAAAAGAAAAGGAAGCAGCTAACTCTAGCCAGGAAGTTCAGGGAAGACTTCACAGAGAAGATGATATTTGAACTGAGTCTTGAAAGATAGGAAATCGTAGAGCTGACAAACAGGTAAGCAAATTCCAAAAACAAACAAAAGGTGCTGCAAAGGTATGAAGTATCAAAACACATAGAACACTTGAGAAACTACAAATAATTCAACAGCGCTCGATGTGCAATAGATGATGCTGGAAAGAAAGGCCGGTCATGGTAACTGGTATCTTCCTACCATATCAAATTCTATACTTTAACAAGCCTGACTAATAAGATATTTAAGCCTGACATATATCTACTTCTTCTATTATACCAAGTTATCACACTCTACAGTTACTTTTTCTTAAATTGCTATAAAACTTTCAATACTTGATCACATACTGTCTTTTATTGTTTACTGATTCCAAATATGCACATTTTGTCTCACTCACTAAATTTTAAGTGCCCCAAGAGCAAGAATTGTCTTTATTTCTTTATTTTCCACAAAACGTACTTCAGTGTCTGTGTATACTGTTAACCTACTTTAGTATCTGTGTATACTTTTAACATGTATTATGTTTGTTAAATTAAAAAACATACTGACAACATGCCACAAACTGAATGATTGATATCATTTCCTTTTATCAGTAAAAGAAAATTAGAATTATTTAAGGTAAGAAAATCAATGGTGGAAAAACCTCAAACACTTTGAATTAAATCTTAAAGTTCAGATTTCAAAAATATATTTTTCTATAGCTCCATATCCAACATATTAAGTCTCCTTTACACCAAAACTCAAAATTTTTTCATTAGATTCTGATGAAATATTTCATGTTGGGTTGTGATAATATTTGAGAACCACATTTTAGTTTTAAAATAAACTAATCCATCATAAATGATTATAAACCTATCTATAACAATAACTAAATTATTTATACAATGTGAAAATCACTTGCCCAAAAAAGAAATTGTCACTTAACTTCAATGGATGAAAAATGGTATTCCAGCGAGAATGTATCGCAGTATTTTTTTCAAATGCAAACACCCCTTTATTTTATTTACTATTTCCAAGTATATGTGGTTATTTGTTTATATCCAACAACCTATAATATTATACAAAAGAGCAGTCATAAGAAACTGTACTATCTAGTTTTATAATGTAAAGAAAGAAAAATGGATAGGCTGATAATGCTTTTCTTTTTTGGTAGCTAACTTCTGATTGATGAAATGCCATCTGCATTAAAGTAACAGCTAAAATAAACTTTAGGCACACTACTTTGACAGATACTATTAGCTTTCTGCTCCAAACAGATTCCCTTTTTGTCCCTGACTTTGACCAGGGCAGTTTGTGCCCAGCCCAAGATGACAGGCTTGCTTTTGTTTTTCTTGTGGCTAGGAGGGACATGTGACACAACTTTAGTCAGTGAGATTTAGTGGGAAGTCTGCTAATGGTTATAGAAACCATTTATTTTCTTTATAAAGAGGAGCAGAAACAGCAGGGCAGTCCTTATCCTTTCTTACTTTTTCTTGCCTGAAATAAGAATGTAAAGGTTGGAAATACAGTAGCCACCTTATAAACATGAGCAATGTGCTGGGCTGCTAAGGACAGGGAGCCAAACAGGATGAGCTTATGTCCTTAAAGCATCATTGGACCAACAACTCTTTAACTGTGGAATTCCCATGATATAAAATAAATGACTGGGCTAGGTGACATACGCCTATGGTCCCAGCAGCTCAGGAAGCGGAGGTGGGAGGACTACTTGAGCCCAGGAGTTTGAGATCAGCCTGGGCAATATAGTGAGACCCCATCTCAAAATAAAAATAAAATACTATATAAATGAAAATTAAATAAATGAACTTCAATTATTAAAATTACTGTAATAGAGTTTTCTATTCTATACAAACACAATTCTGACATAGCAATCAACACCCTATAAAGCATATTTGGAGAAAGTTCAAATGTATAGTGCTACTTTATATGAATATGACCTTTTAAGAGAACAGAAAAAACTCTTAAAGGCAATAAAACATGATTTGAAATTATAGGTACTTTATTATCAAGAAAAATAATATTGACGGGAAGACTACTGTAGCATGTAGCACCAAGAAACCAAATGGCTCTTTAGAACCAAAGTATAAAGTAAATAAATCTAAGAGGAATAAAATAAACAAATCCAGGAACTGCAACTAATACTTTGCAGTCTCAGATTTGAAGAATCAGTTTTTCAAGCAAAAGTGTGGTAAAATAGCCTTTAATTATTGACTTCTCTTTTCAGACACACATAAACATGGGTAGATATTATGATCTATAATGTTATATTTGAGTAAGTACTAATGTATACTTCAAAATAACCAGTCTACAAAAGGTTTTAAACTCTAAGCAAACAATGAGGAGCTGGAGGGGGTACAGGAGTAGGGATATATCATAGTACTGTTCTTGTGATTATGGCAGAAAACATACACACATAGAGACCAGCAGAACTGGTGAAAATTCTCCTGGCATAAACATGAAGTGCTGCCCTTAGCAGCTACTCTGACTGAAGGTGGCCGCAGGCATGCTGTAATGCAGACCCCTATTTTTCATAGTTGTTTTTTTCTTCTGTCATATTGGCTCTGTGCGTGCTTCTGATCACCATGGCTACTGGTACAACACACTAATTTCCACTGCTTTTTTTCCATTTCTCCCTTGCTCATCTTGAAGTCAAGCTCTCTCTGTTTAACTTTCATGAACTGTTCTACAAATAAGCTCTGTATTTCCCGAGATTCATGCCCTTGCATTTCATGCCATTCCAAAATAGAATGCTCCTTTACCCCAATGTATTTATTAACATCCTACCTATCCTTTAAGACCCAGTTAAAAAACTAGCTTCTCTAAGGAGTCTTCTTCAGGTCTTCCAGCTGGAGCTAAACACTCAGTCTTCTATACTTTCATAGACTTTGTCTATAATTGTACTTAACACTGTATACATTAGACAAGAGAACTTCAGTTATATGGTCACCTCCTTTTAAAACTATAAACTGCTAGAGAGTAAGAGTCTTATAATTGGCAAGGCATTTGAACTTGGAGCAAAGACTGCAGTCTAGTAACCTCATTAAGTAACCAATACCACTTTGCTCTTCAGATTTCCTAGGACCACAAATTTCCCTACAGTCAATCGAAATATTACTGTTATACTTGCCAACCTAAGTTTCTCCTTAAAATGCCAGACCTAGTCAACTCTCTGTTACATATGTCCATTACCATATTACTATGTTTTTCCTCCATGCACCGTCTCTGTCCAAGTCTTCCTTCAACTACTAACTCTCTTCCTAAGCTTTATACTGACATATTTATTCCACTGTGAATAATCACCACTACTCACTCCCCAACATCTTCCAACAGAATTCTCCCCTCTACCTCAACTGACATCCCTCCCAGGAATCCACTTCCCTGCCGAGTAGACTCTTTTCTTTTACACTAGTGTTACTAGTACATGCTTTTACACTAGTGTTACTTTTCCACCTTTGTATATAAAAGGCTTCTTCCTCTGAGGGGCTCTTCAGTATACAGCTTCCATGTTACTATCATCTCCCTACATTTTAATCACGCCTCCTTACTCGCTAAAGGTTTTGTCATCTGGCTCACTTTCTTCTCCAACATTTCTTTCTACTACAAAACTGCCATCATCATGGGAATTTTACTGTCCATACGATAAACTATCAACGACATAGCTCAAAATCCCTCAATTCCGACATCATTCATCCACATTCCCACTTAGGCAATGTGCATCTGTAGTCACATCCCGGACTTTATCATTTCTGGGAATTACTCTGCCTCTATAATCTTAAACTTAAGGAAATTAATCTCTGATCAGGTGCTTACCCTTTCCACATATCTCACTTTCGTAACTTTTCGTTCGCCCGATCTTCAATCTAGTGGAGATAACCTCTCCATTTTTCACTGTCCTTCATGATTCACTGCTCTCCCTTGCCCATTTTATTTGCCTTCCTAAGTCTCAGTGTCCTTATATCCTTAACCATTAGCCACAACTACCCTAATTCCTAAATATGGATCAATATAACCATCTACCTTCTCCAGTACTAAAGCTTGGCTACTAGTGAAGGAAATCTTCAGATTGGGGCCACTTAACACTCAGAAACATCAGGTAGGCCCAGCACAGTGCTCAGTGACACTCCCATTTCCAAGTGATTGTTTTAAACCATAATCATCTTTTCCTCAAACCTATCACATCCAACAAATCCAAAGTTCTGAAAGTCCTGTATCCCCTTCTCCATCCTAAATTTCTTTTCTTTTGCTTTTTCTTTTTTTTTAGAGACAAGGTCTTGCTCTGTCCTCCATGCTGGAGTGCAGTGGTGCAATCAGAGCTCACTGTAACCTCTAACTCCTGGACTCAACTGGGATCAAGTGATCCTTCCTCCTCAGCCTCCCAAGTAGCTGGGCCTATGTGCACCATCGTGTTAGCTAATTTTTTTCCCCTTTGGTATAA